ACACATGTGTAAATTGGAGAAGTCTAACACGACACTACATTGTTTCTATCACTGACAAAATTCCTCCGCCGTCAAAGTGCTGGTTGTGTGACAGTCCTATATATGAAATAATTGAAGATAGCAGCACTAAGTGGGATTATTTTTAGAATTTTTCCTAACACGTTTTAGCTTCATCTGGATAGAACAAAGCGTTTTTTAATAGACAATATTTAGAAGGTAAAAGAAAAAAGTTAAACTGAAGTGAATTTTAGAATTTTTCCTGTGTGGCTAGTAATCATCTTACCTACACTATTTTCTGTTAATATTATTCCATTAAAGCAACTGAAAGCTGTCGGTAAAACCCCCATGGGCCGTAGAGGGAAGAACTCCCAGCAGACGGCAGCGTGGGGTGCTCCGAACCGTGACCCCTACCCTGGGTGCTGAGTGCTTCTCAAAATGTGCCCCAAGGAGTTCTCATTTAACTACTAAGCCTTGACGCCCACCACGAGTAAACAAGAGTTTGGGCTCCCACTGACATAAAATCCCTTGTCCCTGTGTTGCATTAAATGATGTTGAAATAAATTTAGAAACCAAATCAAAAGCTTGTATCCAAATATAGACTCAAGTGATGATGCACGCCAACCGACTTGAATCTGAAAGTATTCCTACATTTGACTTTTATTTGCCTCAATTTTTGCCTTAAGCAAATTTTGTCTCTTGCATCAGCAAGAGAATTCTGAACCTCCACCATAAGCCTGCCAAAATTCAAATTTACTTGTGTTTTCTCCTCCTCCCCTCCCTTCCTAGAAATAGTTAAGGAGAATCTCTCGTTACCAGCTGTAGTGTAACAAGCATTGAAGTACTTGCAAATCATACACAATACCATGAAATCCTTAAAAAGCAACCATTTGGGTAGATGGTAGCTCCCACAACAGGTCTGATGTGCTACTTTCCAAGGGAAGTTAGCATGCCCCCAGTTATGCTGTTAAGCATCTTAGATTTAACAAATTACATTAGGCTGGAATAAAATTACAAAGAAAATCATGGATATGTTTACTTAAGTAACTTGTCTTCATCTGAACTGAAAAAATCAAAATTCTCAATTATTTTATTACCAGTGTTCATGTTTGTTAAAGATTTTGGAAAATGTGCTTTCATTGAATGCAAGAAAGCAGTAAAAAAAAAAAACCTAGCTAGGTTTTTCCCATTTCTTCAAGCCTGGAGATAGTCAAGTTGTCCTTGTCCATGAGAGGTTTTTCCCATTTCTTCAAGCCTGGAGATACTCATGGACAAGGACAACTTGACTAAGTGTGGTATTTCAAAACAGGTCATTGCTACTGTAAAAATAGCGCTTAATAATAAAGCTTATTAAACTACTAGTGAACGAAGTAGCACGAGAATTGGTCTAACCAAGGATTCTGTCTCCATGGTGATGGTTTGATGACAGAGGGTTCTTCTCTCTTCCCCGCTGGCTTCTCCATCCTGCTCCTGAATCCCATCACATTGAGTACAGTTTATCAGGAGAGGACCAGGAAACTGGTCCAGCCTTAATAAATTAAACAACTTGCTTATTTCTGTTTTAAAGCCTAGGAAACCTCAACAAGAGTAATATAAAAGCCAGTCGGGTCAGTTCCTTATGCTAGTTCACAGCAAAAGACCTGCGGCTTCGCTGGTACACCAGAGACCAGACGGTAGCCAGGAGCACATACTCATAAAAAAGCCAGTAAGAAACACATTAAAGGAGAATCGCAGTATATTCTTACCACCATCAATAAGTGTCAGCCTAGGAACTGTATATTAGGTCAAAAACTGAATTAAGAGATGCTCATCTCGTCTCATCTCCATTTGCTCTCTTCGTGCGTACGGCACCCTGTGCCACAGCACCTCTCCATCATATGATGTTCATGATGGACAGGGCTCAGTGCAAGAACACCGATGCTGCCTTTTCCCTTCCATACCCTTCCTGGCCCTAAGAAGGAACACACAGTATTTACCATAATTTGTTTTCTGAAATCCAGTACTCACAAATGTGTAAAAAGGCCCAAGACAAGACCATAAGCAACGCGCAGAATAATTTTCTGTATGATTTGACCCTTCTGACCTAGGCTCCATGCAAATTCACTTTTGGGTTACACAACACAGTAAGAAAAAAAATGTTTTACAAATTAAATGAATTAAGTAAACTAAAAAACAATTAAAATAATGAGAAATGAATTTTTAAAACACGTTGGACTGATATGAATGAAACCTATGAAGAGAATAGCCTACCAAGCAATCCTTCTCCTCTCTAGACATAAACCTGGGCAGAGCGGGCAATCTCAGAATCATCCCTTTCTTCAGCTCCACGCTGGGATACAGCGGTAGAACGGGCTTCAGGACTTCAGACACTTAAGTTATCTTAGTTTCTAGATTCCTTGTTATTCTTACAGACAACAAAACATGGGCTTTCAGAAGCAGAATATGCTGAAGTAAATGAAATTTGGCCTCAACTCTTATTTAGCCAGCTGCCTGTGTCGCAGATTGAGCTGGAATATGAGCAGTTCGGAGGGAGAGGGGGAAAAAAAAAAAAAAGGCATGCAAAACAGTATACGTTCTTTCAAAATACAGGCAATGAACTTCAGTGCTTTTACTCTCCCCTACAGCAATCTTTCCAACGGCTGTCCGTCTTGCCTCCCTCCCTACGTCGTACCAACAATAAAAGGGCAGAACTTCGGTGAAGTAGCTAAGTCTCGGGCTGCATTCCAGAGCGTTTCCTCAGCGCTGCTCCATAAACTGCACTTCTCCATCTGCAAGGGGGTAACTATGTACAGCGAGCACCTTGGGTCTTTCCTTAGCTGCAGTAGACAGTTCACATCCAGTAAGTTAAAAAGAAATCCAAAACCTCTAAAATAGATTTCAAGCATCAAATTCATACACACACCAAAATATATAAAAGTACATATACACCCACGTATAGGCAAACATACGCCTACGCGTGTGCGCGCATATACATGTATTTATTTATACGCGCCCTTTTACAAACATAGGTGTGTATCATGCTGTTTTCTTTCCTCTGAACAGTGGGGATGGCAGTTTGTCTAGGGAAGAAAATACAAGGGTCTCTTTTCATAAATCATCGAACGGTTCGGGTTGGAAGGGACCTTTCAAGGCCATCTAGTCCAACCCCCTGCAGTGAGCAGGGACATCTGCAACTAGACATCAACATCCTCCTTCTGACCACAGGCCACGTACAACTGCAGTCCCCGCATTTTAACGTGAAAAATTTCAGCCCTACTCTCTAGGCATCTGAAGATGCTCGACAGTTATTTAACCAAGACCCCACAACGTCCGAGAGGTTAGTTTCAAAATACACAGCCTTTAGCAGCAGCTCCAGCTTACGGAGCTCCTGTGCCCATAAACCCTGCCCAACCCCTCTGGGCTGCGATACTGCATGTTACGCGGAACTGTTTCATGGGATGGTACGGTGTACCTCAGGTATGAAAAGCCATCGCCCCCCCGCAAAGCGGCCTCCCTTTGCCCCGGAAGCCAACGGAAGCACTCCGGCTCTCCAGGACGTCTCCGCAAAGAGCCGCGAGACCACAGGAGGAGTTTGAACATGTAGCCGTGTAATCGCTTAAGCTTGAACCTGGCACGACACCGGGGTTAAGCCCTCTGAGAAACAGGGCCCCAAGAGCCTTATCAATCACAACACTCAGAAATGCTCAATGCATCCAAAATCCTGCAGTCCTCACAGCTACGGAAGCCCCTGCTCCATGAGTGAACCCTTGAGTAAGGGCCACCAAGTCCCCTCCAGGGTATCTGAAGTCTTGGGGGCTTTCAGTCGTTCGTAGCCGTGCAGATGACCACGCTTTATCCAGCTTGCGTAGCACCTTACCAGGCAAACAGAAGTGGGTTAAACTGCTCTTTAACCACAAATTAACTCGAGGGAGTTCTTGCTGAAATGTTTCAAGCTCCAAAAATGAAAGGTCAGCCAGCCACTTCTGGGAGAGAAACCAGAAGCCCTAAAACCACAGGTGTTGTAAGGAGCTTCACAGGAATCAGGGCATAGTAAGACACCAGGAACACACAGGAAAAACCTGCAAGTGATTCCTTTGCTCTATAAACCCACGTGTCTCCGAGTAACAAAATGCCTCCAGTTTGTACGGTACATGTCAGCAATAGTAACTGAAAGATGCAGGTTAAGAAATCTTGTAAGTTAAATTGAATTTAAGTCATTAAACTATGATATCAAATAATCTTTGTAGGTACTTTTATACTTACTTTACTATCATATTACTCTAACATTATCAGACAGGCATGTCCTGGAACATGTATTAACACCAAAAGTAAAACAGTTGTTACATTTGCATCCTCAAAAATCCAGAGCAACTGATAAATCAACTTTTTTTTCTTTTTTCCACAGTATTGCAGCGAGAGTTCAAATGAGTACAAACCAAAGATACTTCAGTAGTACAAAGATATTATTCAAGTCCTTGGAAGACGGCTCCTCCTTGTACCGAAAGCAGAGATTTTCCGACAAGCCGTGCAATTAAATTACAAAATTGTTGCCTACTTGCGGGTATTGGCTCAGTAAACTGAAGAGGACGGTATGCATCCACGTGTTCAGAACACGCCAATTTGCCCCACGACTGCAGCACTCCCCCAAAAGCTCACTGGGAATTGTTTTCCATCATTTTTCGGCATTTTAACATACTATGGATGCCAAAGCCCCTCTCTTAAAAATAATGGTTTTAACTGTATGATTTAAATATCCTGAAATACAAATGGCTTGAGAATTGCAAGTTGACAGGGTACAGTAAGTCTCTTGGCTATGAATAGCTGCGGTTTTGTTTTGCCATTTGTAAGTGTAATTTTTTTTTTTTTTTAAAAGACATTGCAGACATGACATCATTTATACAGGTTCCTGTATTTTGGTGTCGGTGGTTGCTTAGCTGTCACACATTCTGATAAATCTTTGCAGATTTAGGGATGTACCACTTCTATTTTGAAGCACCTACTAAAGCATTAAGTTTGATACTCACGTAATCAGGAAGCGGAGAGTCATTTGAACCAAGGGAACCTCTTAAGGACTGCGTGGCTTGCTCCAGCACTTTGTTGTGTTTTTTAGACAACAAAGAAAATAAACTGGAGGGGGGGAAAAAAGGAAAAAAAAAAAATTAAAATAACTTCACAATAATGTCCTGAAATAGTTACACTATCCAGTCAGAAGAGATGTTTTATTATATACAGAAACTTGAATAAACAGATTTTTAGAATGCAAGGCACAATAGTTATATTATTTATTTATTTATTTAACATCTGGGCTAAGCAACAGCAGAATTTGAATTAGAAATATTCTATACAATAAGTGATGTGAAGAACATCATATGTTCATAGTTAAATTCTTAACAGTCAAACTATAACAGAAGGAACAGTATACATGCAATTTTAGCTGATAACTGGGATGCGTTGGCTAGAACGCAATTTTTCAGTGCAGCACCTCATGCGATTTAATATAACATATCCTTAAGCATCTTGTATATTATTAATTTCAATAACCTAATTGCTTAATGGAGGAAGAAACCAAGTACGTGACAGTAGCTTTGGGTATTTGGAGGCCGAGTTTTTGCATTTTACTAGTAAATATTATTTTCAAATTTATTTTAGCTTAAGCCAAGGAATAAAGCATTACCTTGCTTTATAAATAATCTGTGAAATCAGAGGTTCGTATACAGAGGTAGGAATAAACATTTTTTTGGTACATTTTGGAAAAAAAAAGGGATGGCAATGACACTCACAGAGGCTGGTATAATCTAATATATAAGGAGACTGTAACTTGACTGCAGAGGTGGAAGGAGAGCTGAGAAGGAAGCAGAAGCAGTGCATGAAGGCCATCAGCTAGCGCTCAGCAGCTTCAAGGAGTCGGATAGTTCTGTAAAGCCGCTCGATACCTCAAACATCGCTTTCGATTCACAGATACCCCACTTTCCCTCCTCCCCACATTGGTACAGGTCATATGTTTTAAGGATTTATTTCTGTATTTAAAAACATTCTTCTGTCTCCTTTTTGGAGCATTACAGGTCTCCTGTCAGGCTCTCCTAGGATCACCGCGTTGGTCCTTAGAGGGTAAAAAGGCTGCCTTGACAAATTAGCACCGACACAATTCACTAATGCCTGAGCATGCTGCTCTCGGAGTTGGTTACACTTGTTGATGGGACAAGGAGCAGTGGCAGACTTCTTCTTCACCAGATCATTTAGGAAATATTAAAGCCAGTTTAGCAATTAAAAAAATAAGTCAATACTACCTCAGTGTTATATTCTAGATAGTCTCTATTTCTTGGAGCTGGAGGACAGCTTCAGTGCTTGGAGGTTTGGGCTTGGAAAGCTTTTCTGCCTCAAGAAATGATGCTCAGCATTTGAAGATGTCCCTCTTAATTTTTTTCGTAAAATATATCATAGATATTGTATTCTTCACAGATGGCAAGAGTAGATTCCTCAGAGTATCAGAGTTTATCCCCTTGTTGCTAGTCAAGAGCCTCAGGAAAAGGCGTTTCCAACACTTACCACCACCACAAGGAGTTCCGTTACGCTTCTCAAGCTCAAATCTTAGCTCTCAAAAGCCAACTCAATAAATTCCACCATTTCCCAACACCTCTTCAGTTAGGTATTTCTTAGAACAGATTAACAGCTTCCTTTTAAGGACAACCTTCACCACACTCAAGGCATCTAATTAATCCATGTGAGAGCCCT